CTTTTTTCTCAGAATTCTGACTTTAATCTCAGAATTCTGACTTTTTTCTCAGAATTCTGACTTTAATCTCAGAATGTTGGATCTTAATGTAGATGTGCACCATGAAGGAAGAGATGTGGAGCACTCAGCTTCACTGACAAAGATGTGAGTTGTTTGAGGTGGCCAGTGACACATTGGTGGAAAATGACTGAATTAGGCGACTTTTTACGTGCCCGAGGGGTCGCCTCATTAATGGAGGAGCAGAAGGTCATTAAAACAAGAGAGCTAGTCTCTAAAACAGACATGGCTATGGCTTGATGATAAAATATTTGTTATCTCTCAGAATTCTGAGAAAAAACTCAGAATTCTGACTTTTTTCCCATACTAAACTGAAATAAAATTTAAAAATCAGTTAACTTATTTTTTTTTTTTCAGTGGCCCTAATCCTCTTCCGTATAAATGCAATCAAACAATCATTTTATTTTTTACATTTCCATTTAAAAGAAATGTTCTTAGCTTGCAGCAATAATGGAACAAAAAGATCCCCAGTGAGCAAAATTCAGGATGTATATCATTATTGTTATTTGTCATTCTTAGGCATATTGGAATCGTTTCAATAAGTAAAACTGGGCCGATAATAAAAACTAAGGCTTATTTTCATGCAGTTGTTATTTTTGTTTCAGAAGGGGGAGGGGAAGGTTCAGATTTTGTTTGGTTATGTGATTATGATGCAGCTCAGGCTTGTTGGTGTTTAACAGAATCGGCCTTTAATAGATATTCTTATATCTCCCAAATTCCTTACTGATATTGCCGACTTTCCTGAGAAGCTTTTAACATTTATTTTCTGTCTGAAACAAACTTTTCTCAGAAAGTAATTTAAAATCTTTCAAGTGTGAATATTTCTAAACATCTCAATATTCAGGAAATATTCCCCAAAAAATCTGTAGTTTCACATCATTTATTTACAAAAGAATGGATTTATTTTATAATCATCATGTTTATTATAACACTTTGCATTGCTCTTATCATTTAAAATCCTAATAAAAAGGATTTGTGATATTAATGTGAAAATACTGCTAAAAGTTTTTTTCCTTCAGTAAATCATGAGGTGAAATAAATAAGATGAGTCTCGCGGACTGATGCCTTTTATTGGAATTATCATTATGAGGAAGTGTATTATATTTTATACATGAGTTTTTTGAGACCTCTGCATAATCAGTGAGGTGTTTTTGTTGTTGAAACACATATTCTGACACACGTAGTGAACAGAAAATGTATAAAATATTATACTGAATTTCCTTATGTGTCAAATTAAATGCAAATAAATCATCTAATTTAACGTATACGTTTTCCAGAAAGTTCAATGACATTCTAATTTTGAAAAATGTGAATGTTCTTTCAATTATTTCCTGGTTCAGGCTTGAAAGGGTTAAAGAAAACAGTAAATGAAGTTAAATATCATTTCAAAACAATAGAAAACGAACATTTTAATGCAGAATTGGGACCTTTTTTAAAAGTGTGTTTAAAATCTGCTTAAAGGTTTTTTAAATTTTCTTTTATTCTGAGCCTCACCTTAACCTGTTCGTTGATTTACTGAGATATGATCTTTAGGGTTGATCTGAGGGTTATTTAATCACTTCTTTCAGTGACTGAGCTGAAAGTTTTAAATGAATTGGATCATTTGATTCGCCCGGTTACATGCACTGAAAAAAATTATGCAACCACTTTTGGCATTTATTTAGTTAGATATTTAGTTATTTTAACACAATTGTTTTATGTCCTTAGACTTAGATTTATTTTTGTCATTTTGTATACACAAGTGTAAACAAAAAGAAATTTCAATAAGTACAGCTCTCTAGACAATTTGATTTTTTTTTTAACCCAGTAATGCCAAATGTATCATATTTGATACATACGGTTTCTGAAATGTTTTGCATCTGACACCTTTTGCATAATTTTATTGTAAAAACTTTGCTCAAAATCCTATTGTACACAATCAGATATACCTGATAACAGCCAGTAGAAGACTACACATATTTTGTTAAAAGGCCAAATAAGGACTTCAAACCAAAAAAAAGTCATTTTCTGTTTTGTTTTATTCTTGGATCAGGCTTTAAAGGGTTAAGTGCAGCCTTGAAAACAGTAAAAAATACATAAAAACAGTAATATAAACATATGACTATATTTACAGTTCTATCATTTCGTTTTACATACTTTAACACAATTGTTTTATGTCCTACCCAGCTAACATGAAACAGTTATGTTAAAGTATCTAAATATGATTAAGTTGCATTATTTTTTACGATCCCTTGTTTCTCTCCAGTTTGCTCGTCCTCGTTTGAACCTCCGGCAGCAGCGGCTGTTTACTTCCACCCAGTCTCCACCAGTTCCTCTCCATTTGGCTTTATGAAGGCTGACTGCCGCTTTCCTTTTCGGGGCTGTTTCATCTACATCTGTTACCCCCCACCAGCTCTAAGTGAGTGGCCCCCCCTCCGTCTGTTTTCACACTACTGTGCCAGCCCCCAGCGAGCTGTCTGCTGTGATCTGCTGACAGCAGCTCTGGACTTCCAGGATCAACAGTCTGCTGGCTTTACGTGCTCGTCCTTTTTATTATTATTTATTCCAGTGCTGTAGAGCCAACTGGGGGACACTTAAGACACACGTCCAGCACTTTAGTCACAAACATCTGAGCACGGGTCGATCAGCTGCTCTTTGCAGAGCAATTAAAAGGACAACATTAGCCATTGATGTAGAGCTATGCAGATTGAACCCAGAGGAGTTGAGGACGGTATATTTGTGAGTGAAGGGAATTTAGCAGATTGCTGGCTTTTACTGCTGCTGACCCCCCTGCTGTAGTGGAGTGAAGAAGGTGAATGGAAATCAATGCAGAACAAAAGAACGTTCACTTTCCTCCAGGAAATCTGCTGCTGATCAGAGCAGCTCCTCCTGCATGAACAGGAGACATGAAACGGCTCCCTTTGAATATTAGAGCAAACTTCACTGACATGGCATGCAGGATGGATGGTGCACCGTTAAACAAATACACTGGGGAAAAAATCAAAATCTAGATAAGTCATTTTTTCTTAAAATCAGTGCATTTGATCTTGAATTGAGGAGGTATGTGAGAAATTTTGCAAATGGAACAAGACAATTTACTTAAAATAAGAAAACACAATTGCATTGTCTTATTTCAAGTCCATTTTATCTAATTATTTTATTTTAAGAGTAAAAATACTCATCGTATTGGCAAACTATCTCATTTACCTGCTCAAATTAAGACTAAATACACTTAATTTAATCAATTCGTTTTTCCAGTGTAAAGGTTTGCTTCCCTCTAAGAAGGCTAAAAACTGGAATATGGAATCACTGGTTTCTTCATTGTTGCGTGAGGTTTGCTTTTGTAGTTCAATCTGTAAAAGAAATCTAAAAGTCATTTTGTCTTAAAATAAGTGCATTTTTTCTTGAAATGAGTAACCAAGTCACACAGTTATACTTAAAATAAGGAAAAAACAACTGCATTTTCTTATTTCAAGTGCACATTATCTAATCATATCATTTTTAAGAAAAAATACTTATTCCATTAGCAAATCATCATATTTACCTTCTCAAATTCTGGGTTAATATGTCTAATTTAAGAGATTTTTACTTCTATCTAGATCCTTTTTGCAGCATATGAAAGGATTTAACAGCATTACAACAACTGAGCTTTAAATCAATTATTTTAAAATAAGTTCTCAATAAATGTTTACATGATAAGAAACTGTCCAACCTTCAACACATTTTAGTAAATTAAAACACCTACTTATTCCTCTGTGTCACTCAGTAAAAAACTTAAATTCAAAATTTTAAGTCGACAATTAAAACCAGACCTTGTTATTTATTTGTCATTCAAAATATGTTATCGTGGCCAAAAAGAGGTCAGTTTTATTATAAATAAATGTAAACAGTCACTTATGGTAAAAAACAAAAATCACTTTTTTATTAAATTTGTGATAAAAACAATCAGAGAAAGACAGAAGCTCATTCTCCTGTGACAACATAACCTTTAGAACATGTTTTTTAACTTAGATTACGTAGATTATAAACTTCTTAAATTACCTGTTTAAATTTTTGCTAAGCTTATTGAGTTTTTAACTTAAATTGTTTACTTTTTTAAGTTAATTTACAGTAGATTACTGGTGTTAAAGTTTTATAAAGCAGCTTTGCAGATCACATTTGATCTGGTCTGCAGCCTTCTTTGCTTTTGTCTTCTTTGCTGCAAAGTTCCTTTTTCTTTAATCAAAGTTACCAAATGTGTAATTTGGATTAAAACAAGTTAAATGCATTTTATTGGGATCTAATACGAAGGGCAGCAGGAAGTAGAGCATACATTGAAGTGAAAGGAAACTGATTAGTTAAAAGTTTGGTTTAAGGTTTAATATTTTTTTCTCTGCAATGGTTGCTTGTCCATTTTAGAGCTCAATTTCATATTTCTCTGTTTTTAAACCTTTCTGTCTTTATTTCCCTGCTCCCTCCTTCAGATCAGCTGATGTTAGAAATATCAAAGTCTTGATTAAAGATGGACTGATGCAGGTTTCTTTTAAAGACCGATGTCGATTATTTAGCATCCGCTGAACTTATGCCTTATACATGCTGCTGATTGATTTAGGCTGATATTTATTTTCTTTCATGATAGAAAAAATTTTATTGGCCGATTTAGTGGCAAAGAATCAGATATCAGCCAATATCCTGCATTCCTACAGTTATTAAAACCCCTATCCCTAATCCGTACAGTAGTGGCAGCATCATGCTCAGGGAATGCATTTCATCAGTGACGTTGGTCTGAGTTGGTGGAAAGATAATTTTAAATATACTACAGGAGAATAAGGAAAAATAAAAAACTATTAGAGGCTGCAACATATTTTAGACCCGGAAAGAGATTAAGCTTCCGGTTCTGCATCGACTTCTGAACCAGAGCTACGGCGTGTTTTAGATCACATCTGATGGAGCAGCTGGATGTTTTTTCAGTCCAGAAAGATAAAAACAAAGCAACAGCTTTAAACTCTAGATGTGCAAACCTCAAAGAGACCAAATCAAAAAGACTTCCTTACTGCATGAATCCAAAAACAACATAAAAACACAAAATCTTCGTGGAAAGCAGTGAAACTATCTGTCCATGCTGGAAAAATAAATTCATTTAACCAGATTTCTTGAATTAAGATTATAGAGTACAGTTGGATACTTAAAAAAAGGAATTAACTCTTAAAAAAGATCAATTCTGTGATGTTTTAGTAGCGATATATGTTTTTATTATTTTGCAGGTAGGATCTATGCTGCAAATTATGATATATAATCAAGTCATTATTATTTTTCTTAAAATAAGGGACTTTTTTTGCTAATTGAATATGATGATTTATTTTTAAAATAAAATGACTCCCTTAACCAATTTCAGCTGCTTAAGACATTAAATAATTATTCCATTGACAGACCTGCTCAAATTAATGGCAAATAAACTCATATTGAGTAATTTTTACATATTTTGAATCAGTTTTTGCAGTGAAGCAACATTTTTCAGGCGTAAATGTGTAAAACTTTTAAACCATATCTGTTAACCATCACTTTGTGTTTGTCTTGTGCATAAATCCAACTAAAATAGATGTTTTTTGTTCCTTTTAATTAAAAAGAAATAGTTTAGCTTCACATTGAGTTCCTCTGTTTGATGATTTTAATTCATTTTATTCTGTATTTTTAATACATTTATTTTGTGCTTCCTCTAGAAAGGGGATTAGTTGGTACAAATTAATTCTTTCAGTTGGGATTATTTGACTAAATGGTTATTTAAATTCAATATCACTCAAAGCCAAACCACGGTTAGGTTATTATTACTTTTATTTTGGAATTCAACCTGTGAGATTTAAATCTTTTTGTCAAAAGTCTTTGACTCTCTCCATCTTAAATGAGCATGAGATGCTACCTATGCTAATGAAAAGCACTGAGTAAAAACATTACAGTGGGTTCCCCTCCCCGCTGTATTTTATAGCGGTCATTAGCGGCTCATCTCCACTCAGGATGAAGGTGATAGGCCCTGCCTGTGTTTTTTACCAGTGAAAAGGAGCCAACGGCCCCCATTTTCATGCTTTTTAAGGCTCATTGACGTGCAGAACGAGGGCCGTACAATGCTTTATGTGGTGGTGGGTAAACCTCAGCAGGTGAACCGGAGTCACATTATAACAGAGTCTTTAAAGCATGCTGGGCTGGTCCAAAAGCACAGAGCAGACCCCATTAGTAGAAACACAAACAGGCGGCACCGACGGCCCTGACTCTGCAACACACTTACTGCAGGCCAAAGGTTTAACTGGATCAAAGCAGATAGAAAATCTCAGTTTGATAAATTATTGAGCTAAAAAGAAGCATTTCCGCGAAAGGATCTAAAGCTTTGATGTGAAGCTGAAGAGTTTGGTACTTCAGGATAACTAAACTCTAAGTTCTTGGAGATTAAAATGTTCTTTCCCTGCAAGGCAAGTGAGAAATTCAAGAACAAGCATTTTACAGCATTGGGGTTTTATTTTCACGTCACATTACAAGGCAAAGACACACATTATTTCCACACTTATGTTTAATTCTTATTATTCTGTACAAAAATAATATTTACGCTGGAGATGAGACAAAGTAGGAAATAAATAGACGGGGGCGAGCAGCCTGCAGGGCTGAGCAGGCCTTAAGCCGGGCATTTTTTGCCCTTTTCGGGCTGATTTTCCAGTTTATTTCGATCGGGTCGTTAGTATACAGCGATTAACGAGGGGCGATCAGCCTCTGGCGACCACCTCCTGATCAGGAATCTTAAGGTCAGGAGAAAATCAAACATTTTTGAATCCCAATCGGCTGTTGTAAAGTCTTAATGGGCAAATCCTTCAGTTGAAGTAGAGCTACAAGCCGATTAACCAGAACCTTGAACTTTTCACTGTTTAACAAAGGAGTTCTTCTTCCAAATTGACGAATGCGACGAGTCCGATTTGTGGATTTTGGACGTTTATTGAGAGCAGGTAGGTCGCATTAGAGCCATACAGTTTAAGAAAAACCATCATGAGCTGTGTACTGTTAAACTCTGCGGTTTTGTCGTATAGTTTAAGCTGTAGCTGAGTGCAACGTTTGAAAATATTGTACAGTGTAAGCTCGGCTTTAGTTGTCCAGATTCTGCTTCCATACAATCGGAGCCGAAAACGTTTCCCCTGGTTTCAGAGCCTGCGTCTGGCTGCAGGCGTCGGGCCCTCGGCGTTGTGGGCCTGTGTTCTCAGATCAGCCTGGCGCAGTAGACTCTATAAACGCTCAGTCCACCCAGAACATCCTCCTCACCAGCAGGAGTAAGAGAACAGAGGATACTGGCTCCACTCGCTGACGTTGCCATGGTGATAGCCATGGTGCACGGCCTGTGCGGTGTAGTCGGCGGTCAGAGGGTGAGGAGGGGGATACTGGGCCGGTCCCGGACCGCTCCACTGGCCCAGCGGCTGCTCCGTGCCGTAAGGGCCGTAAATGTGGTGGCCGATGACCCCCGGCTTCCCGCTCGGGGCCATGGCCATGTTCAGAACTCCGCTGTAGTCCTGAGGGCCCGCCAGGTGCTGGGGGCCGCAGTGGGACGGGCCGGGCTTTGAGGAGTCATGATCGGGGACGGTGGAGATTTCCGGGACCCTGGACTCAAAGCTCCTCCGTCCCGATCCGCTGATGCTGCTGCCGACGCTGGAGGAGGGGGACGGAGACTTCCCGTACTCCTGGGTCCTGCATATAAAAGACAGTGAGTGTTCCGCTCATCACTACATCATCATCATAAAGGCGCGGTGATCACCTGTACGGCTGGTAGGCCGCAGGAGCGGGAACTAGCTGCTCCGTGTTGTAGATATCTCTGGCGTCCGGCCCAGCAGGAGACTCGGGCCTCACACTCTGCTGCCTCTCGGCACCCCAGGGAGAGTACCGCTCTTCCTTCAAGGCGTCCTCATCCTTCCTTTTGGCCAGGCCTCCTTCCTCTCCATCATAGCCATCGTAGGATGGCTGGCAGAAGCCTGAAAAGACACGGATTAACAGATGGCATCAAAAAATACCAGGAAGATGTGAAGAAGTGAACTTAAAGCGGTACCTGGTGAGCTTCTCTCCTTGGAGTCCTCGTTCAACATGTCGGACATCTTGGCTCTTTTCTCCATGCAGGGAGGGTTTTTGTTTGCACGCCTGTAAGAAGTTTATCAGCTTCGTTAGAACGAGCAGCACTTCCTGGTCAGTAAGCTGCAGAGTAGCAACTGAAACCCACCTTTTCTTATTTGTGCCTTCATCCCTGAAACCCTTGGCGAAGGGGTTGTGGTCGATCTTCAGCTTTGTGATCTGCTCAAACAGAATTACAGTTTAAAGCTCAGTAACAGCCGATGGCCTCAGCAGGAGGCGGTAAAGGTGGAGCCGAGCGACTCACCTTGGTGTTCTGGTAGGCAGTGACTGCAGTGAAGGACGTCTCTGGGAAGGTGAAAGTCTGGAAGACGCTCCAGCGGACGCTGAACAGGTCATCTGCTTGGACGACGTGGAAGCGCGGGTGGTAGCGATGCATCGAGTGCAAAATGATCTGCAGGCAGAACAGAAAGGTTTCCCTCAGAGATCCTAAACTCATCATCCGCCAGAAAATTTCTGTTCTCTTGCTTACGTGCCCATGCTGGTCAAGTGTATTGTTGGTGAGCTTGAGCTTGAGGAAGGAGATGCTCTGCTTCATCCAGTGGCTCCCCAAGGCTGGAGAGTCTGGGTGGACGTAGGTCCTGCAGGGGGGCTGAGGCTCCGCTTTTCCTGCCACCTCCCATTTCTCTTTATTCCACTGCAGGGGAGGAGACGCATCGTAAGTCAATCAGCTTCAGAGAAAAGGTGATTTACAGAAGCAACTTCATCTTCCCTAACTTCCCACGATAGATTGGAGAGTGACGGCTCGGGGGATACCACCCACAGAGGTGGAGGAGGGGGGTACAGTGAGCTCCCAGCAGGGGATAGAAAAACAGGAAAAGATAGAGGTCTTTGATGTGCAACGTGAGGGGAGGGGGGCAAGGGATAAACAGAGGGGTAACTGCTGATTTATAGGCCTTACCTTATACCTGAAACCATCCTCAGGAACCATGTCAACCAGTAAGATGTACTTGGCACATGGAATAAGACCAGATAAACTCACTTTACAGTGTGGGAACATCCTCCTAAACAAAAAACAAAGCAAACACAGGTTAGAAAAAGGAGGATATTCCCAAATATTCAGAATGAAGATCAGCTTTTTCTTCCGGCCTTACCTGCCCGGTTTGGTGATGATCATCTCCGTTCCAATTTCATGGAAAGTCTTCCAGAGTTCAAGGTCTTCCAGAGTCATCCTGATGCTGCCCTGCAGATATGCATCAGGGCCGGCCGCCATGGAGGCAGGAGGTGCGCCGCTGAAGTTAGACTTCAGCTCTGCAGAAAGTAACATTGACTAAACGGGTTGAGTTTCTGATCAGGGATGAAATGAGGAAAATACTTTTGATTTGACTTCAAAATTGGGTCAAAGAAGTCGGACACTCACCCCTGATGGAATGCATGTTCCACTTTCAAAGGCAGCACGGAGAATGTCTCCTGTTTTTATGCATGAGATGACGAGTAATCCCAATTTCACATAGATCCAAAACAGTGGCCCCTGGCCCCCCCCCTCCCTGTCTTGGGTTGAAGATAAATCCAGCAGTTTAGTTCAGTCCAAGCAGCTCAGTCCTGTGGCATCACATAGATGCTGCAGCAGAGGGATGACCATGACTTTTAAGGGAAACCCTTCAGTAGGTGGAGCCAGGAGGGCCATTCCCAGGCTTTGAAGTGACACAATGATGAGTCAGGGTCCAGCTGTGATTGGAGGGGCGCTGGAAATCAAAGAGACTTAACAGAGCCCTGATACCGTCCCCACAGGAAGAGGGAAGGAGGAAATGCGCCTTTATTAACTGCTAAGAGACTTTAAAACAAATATGGACGGACTCCCCTGCTGCAGAGCAGCTCTGGCTGCAGCTCCAGCAGCAGCGTGGATATCATTGACACGTACCCAACCGATCCCAGAAATGACATTTAGTGTGTTTGTGCAATGTGGTAAACGCTCACAGCCGGTCATTTCACACTATTAAGACAAATGGAGTGGAAAGAGTTGTTTTAAATGATCTGTTTTCTCAAAAAGAAAAAAATCTGTCATAGATTCATCCATAAGGGAACGGACGGATGTGAACCTGGTGAAATGTCCCTGATTGGTACCTGACAAAATACCTTTTCGCTTCCACGCTCTCGGCTTTCTCCACCAATTTACAGAGTGGGTGGGGAAACTCATAATGGTGTGGTGATACCATGCAATCTTCCTACAGGTAGGATTTACCTGAGGGCATCCTCTGAGGCCCCCAGGGGACCACATGGCTGCTGGTTGTGTATTGGGTTGTCTAGACAAGCCCACGCTCTGAGAGATAATCTCATTAAAGGTGGTTTCCCCCTTGAAGAAACCAGTTTCTGCATCTGGAGAAAGCTGTGTATGGGGTGGGCAATTAACAGCCAGTTAGCACCGCATGCTCAATGTCAGGCTTGAATGATTGGGGTGGGGGGAGTAAACCAAGCCGTATAAACTTCCAGGTGAAATCCGCAGGTGTCACAGTTGGTCGTACTGCCCCACTGCAGGCCAAACAGCTGCTATACATCAGTTATTAGCATAGAAAGGCAGGAGAACGGAGCGTTTCTTTTCCTGTTTCCTCTGCAGTGACTTCAGAAAACACAAACCATCTTATAGGTTTCCTCTTGAGGTCTGACGTCCGTGCTGCATACAATGCCCTCTGTAAGCGCGACGGTTTTACACCCCTGCACCAAGGAGGGCCTGAGATGAAACTGAAAGGAGAGAAACTGCAGACGTAGGGTGAAGGAGGGCAACGTTCACAGCAGCTTCCTGACACCTCAGGTAGTTTGGTGCATGAGGCCAATCTGGAAACGCTTTTTAATTTGGATTTTAGGTAATAGATCAGCACTAGATGGGTCATTATTAAAGGAAATAAGATATGGCTTTAAAATGTTTTAGAAGGAGGTGTGCATATCTATCCCATTGCTTTTATTCTAACAGCCCTAAATCAAATCCAGTGTAAAACAGGGAAAATAAAATCATAATATAATGAGAATAAAGTGATACTTCTAGGGGAAAAAATATTAAAAGTATGACTAGGAAAATAATGTAATAATATTATTAGACAGCAAAGTTGTGTTATTAAGATGAGATATTAAGATTAAGCTCACGTAGAAATACATAGAAAAAGTTTACATACTAAATCAATCTCACCTCAACTGAGCAATTTAACTTAAAATTTAACTATTAAAGTAAGCTTCTTCTTTAATCTCATAATATGTTTTTATACTCATTATATTACAGTTATATACATATATAATATATGCATTTTCAAAGAAATAAATAAATGTACCATGATGTCATTATAATCATTTATCTAAAATATGATTCAAATATTAATGTTCTATTAAATAAACAATTACATGAATAAAAAATATATTTTCTATTAAATAGTAAAATTAATCAAATGAAAAAAAAACACTTTGGGCAAATAACTAAAAATAATTTTCAAATGACAACATAAGTTATTAAATGTAATTTAACAGTGACTCTATTTTACTTTAGATGTATAAATACCATACCAACTTTATTTATGAAGCACTTTATGCACCGGACAGGACCAAAGTGCTGTACACAATCATAAAATACAGTTAAATTATAATAATTATTAGTATACAAACAGAATAAAACAAAGTAAAACCTCTCAAATTGTGCCAAAAGCCAAGGAAAAAAGATGAGTCTTAAGAAGGGACTTAAAAACAGCAAGAGAAGAGGCCTGTCTTCTGCTCAGAGGCAGATCGTTCCACAGCTTAAGAGCTGCCACAGAAAAAGCATGTTCCCCTCTGAGCTTGCAAAATACAAATATTGGATTAATTGAAGGTGTAATTATGGGGCCACTGCCTGTTGCATGGTTATTTTGGGGTCATAGGGTGAAATGCTTTGGGGCCCCTGATATAGAGAGTTCCCAGACTCCGTCATGTTAGCTGCAGCACAGCAGCATCATCCTATTCACAACTCCATGGTGAGTTTTTGTTGGGTTCATAGGTGTAAAAACCGAGCTGATAAAACAGCAAAGAGACGTTTTTTCACACCGGGGATCAGAGGATGTAAATGTGAGCAAACTTTGCGTCTAAGCATCGAGGAGCGTCGCTGGTTAATAGACAGACAAGCCGTCTAAAACATCACAGATTTGCTTTATTGATGGGAAGGACATTTTTAAAATTCAGAAAAATGGATGCAGTTTTAAAAATGTAAAGCTACAACAATGTACACTGCAAAAACGATGCAGAAATAAGAAAAAATTTCTTAAATTAAGTGTATTTAACCTTAATTTCGGTAGGTAAACAAGATGATCTGTCAATGAAATTAGTATTTTTACTCTTAAAATAAGATAATTAGATGATATACACTTGAAATAAGACTATGGAATTGTTTTTTCTTATTTTAAATGTAAATTGTCTTGTTCCATTGGCAAAGTGTCTCACTTACCTCCTCAATTTAAGACAAAATGCACTTATTTTTAAGAAAAAATGACTTAATAAGATTTACATTTTTTGCAGTGTAAAGATTAGAAAGTAGAACGGAAACGCCTCATTGTTTCATATAAAGGCACATATTTCTGCTACT